CAGACGGTAAACAAGGTATTCTGGCAGACTATCCACCGGATCTGAGGTAAAAAGAAGGGCAGTCCAAGAGTCTAGAAGGATAGGTCTGGCACCCTCTTATCGAGAATAAGGACATCCATCTTCAGCGACGGAGAGAGTACTTTGAGGAACTCCTTAATCCAGAGCAACCACAGGAAATTTTGCCTGTAGGAGCAGCAGGGAATAGATATTATTATTTCTGTAAATGAAATCACACAAGATGTAAAAAGCTTGAAAAATGGAAGTGCTGCTGAAATCGATGAAATCTCCTTGAACGCTTAAAGCGTAGGCGAACAAGGCATATGTTGGCTTACAAGCATGTCAAACTGCAATTACTACGGGGAAGACACCAGTGGACTGAAGAAGTGGGTTTGTAGCCATATTCAAGAAGAGAGACTATAGGGAGCACTGCAATTATCCAGGTGTGGTCTTATTGAGAATAACAGGCAAAGTCTACGCGTAGATACAAGAGAGATGCCGCGGAATTTCTGACTGTAAAATACAAGAGAAATGTGGCTTCAAATCTGGCCGAAACATCTCTGACCAGATATTCGCGTTACGCTACATTGTTGAGGAATCGTGGGAGGTCACTCATCCGCCAAACACATGCTTTGTGCACATATAGAAAGCCTATGATAAATCCCGCACAACAAGCTATGGGCGTGCTTGCAGCGGTATGAAATCCATGGCCAGCTGCTAAGAGCCACTGGGTCACTATGTATTGCGAGCAGGTGCTACGTCAGAGTAAATGACGTTAAATGGAGATGTTACAGCGTTATCACTGATCTATCACTTGTCCCCTCTGCTATGTGTTTTACATGGACAGGATGGCCAAACGTGCAGCCAGGGCGGTGAGTTTATCAGCATAGGGAATGTCGAAACAAGGTTCCTACTGGCAGACGACGTTGTTTTGCTGGTATTTTCTGAAACTGATCTCCAGTGCTCTCGAGAAATGTTCGGAGTCGAGTGCGACGAGGTCGGCATCCGTGTGAACGTTACTAAGAAGAAAAGTCTAGTGCCTCCTTGTTCTACCAGCTGCTATCTTCACATAAACGGAGACGCGGTGGAGCAGGTAGAAAAATTTAAGCACTTCGGAGCTGTATTTATTGGTGATAGAAAATTTGAGGAAGAGATAAACCGGTGAATAGTAATCGCGTGAATGAACTAGCCTGAACCATTCTGACTAAAGCAGAGTTGAGTCTGAAGACTAAGCTGTCGATATTCAAGTCAATCTTCATCCGCAAGCTTACCTACGGTTATAAGTCGTGGACCATGAATGAAAATCTTCGATCTTGGGTACAAGCGGCTGAATTAGGCTTTCTGAGGCAAGTCGCTGGCCTGACGTGTCTCGACTTGGTCCGAAGTACAGAAACCCTCGAGAACCTTTGTGTACAATGGCTGCTTCTTCAGAGCGAGAAGTCACAGCTGCGATGGTCTGGGCACGTGTTGCGAATGCCTCCAGAATGGATGACTAAGCAACTACTATTCGTTTAACCAAAAGACCCTAGGAATGGCCAAGATTACTTTGGTGCAAGTGAAGTGAAGGAATCTTCTCTTGACGTCGGTTGTCTTATGCCGAAGCTCAGACTCTGGCACAGGATCGGGAACGTTGGAAGCACTGTCTGACGCGTCTACCTCCGCCACTCGAACGGAGAAGCGATCAAGGAAACTCTATTGAACTGAAAAACAAATTGGTCTAAACTACCACTCAACGGATGGATGACTGGTGGCCGGTCTAAACGAAATAATCTGACTGCTGCTGATATCGAACCGGCTAACCCTAGCTGCCTTACCTACTTTTGTTACAGTTTTTCTCAAAATACTTCTGTACTACAGTGATTTCAATCGTTGCAACCAGTCAACCAGCCTTTCCACGAACGTAAAAAGCTTGAAAACGTTCGGTAGTAAAAATGTTGTAATTAATGTAATCTTATATTACTGGAAAAACACTCGAATTACACTGATCAAATCTGTTTTATATTTTACTACTTACCTTACTCGAACCCGAAACCTCTCGGTTCTAAACCCGATGCTCCACCAACTGAGCAGGTCCGTCTGAAGTAACATGTAAATTCTTGGCTCAAGGGAATTTGTGGTTGACTCTAAAATTACTCCTTTGCCGGAATCTCAGGAATTTTTCAGAGAAATCCGGCATATCAGGAGATCGAAGCCGATCTCTTAGGCACTGTGTCACAACGCCACCAGACACCGGAAATGGCAGGAAAATGTCGTTTTAAACAACCTTCTGTACGCTAGCCACGTCAGAGGAACTTTGCAAAAGAATCCAACGATTCATCAGCATATATCATAAATACAGTACATCGTTCATCAAAAAAACTGTGGAACCTCTTGTACAACGGGGTCATATTAAAATAGGAAATTTAGACAATCAAAAAACAGGTCAACCTGGAGAGTGTATTGGTTACTGTACCTACAGTGACAGCCATTTTAGAGAGAAACAGTATCAAAAACAGTGAAGACTTGCCTCAGCAGCACAAATGAAAAATGTTCAACTGCAGAGAGGCGAAGCAGACAACAAAAATGTCACGTAATGGATTTAAAGCAAAACAGTCTAGCAGAAGTCAACCGTAGAAAGATGAAGACTACGGAAGGATCACAGTGAAGTGAAGAGACAGAGTGACCTGCGATCAATTCCGTGTGGCTGTTTTTTTTGCGCTAGAATATGGATGCAGACGCTGGTTTCAACAATACGGCATTTCTGACTGACGGAATCTTCAAAGAGATCAGCGATGCTACAAAGCTAAATTATCGATGCAAAAATGACAGCCGTCGTGAGAACATAAGGGAGATCTATACCCCTATGGTTACTAGTTTTCCTCCACAAATTTTGGGTGTCGTTACTTGGACCAATGAGCAAAGTTCGTATCTACGCACTGAATGCAGTCGAAACTTATAAACATTCGGAACTGCAATATCAATCAAAAGTCGTCATTCAAACAGACCAGTCACTTCAAATTTGATG